ACACACACACACACCCCTAAATCCTAATCCCGGACAAAGGGCATCCTACACCATATCCCAAAGTAAGGGCCCTTTAATATATAGGTCGTTTAGAAGCTCTTTTCCCACTCGTTTCACACTGGCATCAATATCTAGAGCTACACACACCAAGATCAGAGATTCAGATGCCCTCGGAACACAAATCTACTATGAAGAGTAGCACCCATTAATCTGAAGCCCAAAATCCAAAGCTGCACTTTCACATGTTCGACTGCTGCAACAAAGTCAGAACCCAGGAAAAGCTACTCTACTGCAGTGGCTCTTGGGCCACCTGCTGCAAAGGCTCTCGGCTGCTAGGCTGCATGAGAGCCTGCACAAGCAACTCTTTCCATAAAACCTGTCTTTACAGTCCTGCTCGGTCGAAATACCCAGCCATACAAAGTCTCTGACTGTACTACTAAGCAAACAGTATAGCTTAAAAGACGTACAAGTACTATATTGTGAGCCTTCCTGTGGCATCGGGATCCAGCCGGCGATTGCTTTGGCCAGCGTCCACCTAGGTTAGGCCACTGCTGGGTTCATGGTTTGGGGCTTCGCGCGAATATAGTGTGTATTATTCAAGCTGCACACCAATCTGTAGAGGGCTGACTTTGACATTTAATTACTTTACTACATCCGTTGGGATTTTGGGGTTTGGGGCTGTGGCTTCGAAACTACAAACACTGATTAATTGTGGTAAGAGTGGCTAGGTTTGGGATTTAAGGAAGGTTCTAGGCTTATGTCTTATTAGGTATTCCAAAACACAGAAACAGAAATCTATATGCCACAAAGCTTTGAATCCAAGGAAAGCCTGGCCACATCTCCGGCATTGACCCTCTGCTCCACGACACACAGGTTCCGTGTTTTTTGCGATTAACCTCGGCAGTCATTAATGGGGCAATGATTGATCATGAGGCTTCTTCATATTTCCATTAAGAAGCAGTGAAGTCCTTGTGGGGAGCAAGTGCTCGGTTGACATAGAAATTCTTCTCAATCAGCCGAACAGTGATGCTTTTGCACTCTCCTTTTGCTTTGTGGGTCTTGGTCGGGCAGGGCACTGCAAAGGTCCTTGGTGGAGCATATGACTTTGGACATCTAGTTTCCTGCTAGTGCAGAACTTTGAAGTATGCAATGTACCGGACATGCCATGTGCAATCAAAGGCTCACTTGGTCCAAGGCTTTCCATGAGAAGTCATGGTCGTTTGCAGCCCCAGCAGGACGGCAATCCGGAAGTTCATCTATCATTTTAACTGCAATATCACGGGCACGGGCAATATTTGCAGCTTTCTTCTCCTGGCTGGCCTTCCACCCAGCTGCATTGACCTTTGCAGCAGCCTTAGGCTTCGCATGCTTGCATGCACCCTCTGGATCCACTACAGCCTCTGCCTGACATGGTGCAGGCTTTTCCTGCACTGCTTCGCCCGACTTGGCCTGTGCTTCCAACCCCTGATTTGCCTCAGCGGGTGCTTCCGACTGTCCTTCCTGATTTGCCTCAGCGGGTGCTTCCGACTGTCCTTCCTGATCTGCCTCGGTGGGTGCTTCCGACAGTCCTTCCTGAGCTGCCTGGGTGGGTGCTTCCGACAGTCCTTCCTGAGCTGCCTCAGCAGGTTCTGCCGACTTTTTCTGTTTCTTCAGAACCTTCTCTGCCTGCTCCTGCAACATGAGCCCGATAATCAGTGCACCAGGGTGTTTTATTATATGGTTTATAGCTAGGGTTTTTCATGATTTTTAAAAACAACATAATCCTGTAACAAAAAATCGATTAATTCTTATATGGGCCCGAGGCCCACAACATCCTACACCTATAAGAAGCCAGATCTAGAGAGCCTAGCTAGCTTAATTATATACGAACAATTCCCCAGTAAGAAGCACAAGCCCGATCACGCCTCCCGTTGCCTCTTGCGAACATCTGCCTGCTTCTGTCGCAGGCCAACGAAATCTGCATCATCATGTATCGCTGGCGCCAGGCCAGCAGGGAGTGGTAGAATCAAGGCAGGGTCGAGGAGAGGCCTTCTGTCCTTCCAGCACGCAGACAGTACTCTTGGCTACCTTGATCGGGTGAAAGTTCCCACCTTGTAGGCTCCATTGCTTACACGAGGGCCTTCATCATCATCCGAAGCCGGAGCCTAGGAGGGTTTGTTACCACCACGGAAGCCCTTGCCAAGGCTCATGGATCACTGCCTCCAGCATCTCAGCATCGACAGCTGCATCCTGGGACACAAGATTTAGGATTTGATAAAGTCGATAACTGTGCATCTACACCTAATATAATAAAATTTAAAGTCAGCTGGGCTACGAAGTCGTTCTCCAGCTTCTTCTGTGGGTTCTGTGGGGCCATCATTGGATCGGCTGGCGCTGGCTCGACCTGCACGGATGCTAGTACAGCTAATGTCCAGGGCCAGGGTTTAATGCTAATCTTTTGACCCGAGAACACAATCCATGCTATAAGGCACCTCCGAGTCCGACTGTTGGTACTTCTCTCGCCACACCTTCCAGTCGGCTTCACTCGGAGGGTTTCGACTATCCCAGATGTCTGGGTCGAAGTCGTCCTCCTCAGCTCTTGTCTCAGTACACAAACACATACAGACAGAGACACACTGACACACAGACACACACTTCTACACACAAACACACAAACAAACACACACACACACAAAAAAAACACATGTACACACAGACAGACTGACACACATAGGCACACACACAGAGGCAAATTTATGTGTATACATGTATTTACACACTAACCAGTAAAACTGCAAACACACTTATAACTAATGAAAGTAGTCAAGCAAACCTTAACCTCCTGTCAAAAGGCTGCAAGCAGCTACATAAGCCAAGGCACTCCATTTTTATTGGGAGCACAAGCCTCATGCTGCCCATACGACCACATCTGTTGTGAGTTAAGGCTAAACCTACACACACACA